TTCTCTGTCTTTTGTGTTACTCAAAAAACAATGGAAATGTTAGCTCAGGATGGTGCAGTTTTTGTTTCTGTTTTTTTGTTGTTGTTATTGTTTTAGTTTTGTTTTTTGGTGGGTTTTTTGTGTTTGGACTCCAGATCCAGTTCTTATAGTCAGAATCATAGGACAAAATAGGTAGAAATAAGTGAGTTGTCCTATGTTAAAGGAAAGTAGCATGAATTCTCAACCTGTTTGTTTCTACCGTAGTGTATTTACGGTATAGATATGTGGGTTGGATTTCCTTACTGACCTGGTGCTATCACCAGTGGCCCTGGATACGGGGCCTAGACAATACTTCCCTTCTGACATCAACTGTAACATCTTAGAGGGGGAGATAGCAGCCTTGGCTTCAATTCGTAAAGTAATAGCACAGACTTTTTCTCTCTGGAGAGTTAAACAGTCATTCTAGTTTGCCTCAGTATTTTTCATTTCCATTTTTAAAACTGTATTGATAAGGATTTGCGTTGATGGAAAATAGAAAATGCTTCTCTTATTCTTGATACCCCAGACCTGTCTTTGATTGAAAGAATTCATGTGTCCAAGGTATGCATTTTGTACGGAATTATCTAATTCTTTACGAGAAAGATAAGCCCACTGGCCTGAATTACAATTTATTTCATTCCGCTGAGCACCGATATGGAGTTCGCCCCAACGTACAGGGGTGGGGCATCTCCTGGAGGTTTGAACTGAGCCTTCTAGAAATTAAGTGCATTTTTTAATTGCAGTAAGTACATGGGATTTGGATCTCCAGATCAGGCCAGATGAAGCCACCAAAGGGGGTCTTTTACAATAATAGGAATAGCAGAAGACACCTGGCCTTGAACCAGTGTTATAACATTTTGTATAACAGTGAGCTTCCATTTTGGGATTTCCTCTAATGGTAAACATTTTCTCTATGTGCAGTGGATGGAAGAGTCTCCAACCCAACTTTATTTATCTACTTTACAGTGTAAAACTCCACTCCCTCTCTGTTCTACCTTTTGGATCTCCCATGACTGGGGACTGGATAGAAGCTGTGGGATGCTGAGAGAGAAATGTGAGGGCTGGAGAAATTTCTCACAGAGCTGTAAGCCCATTTTTAACAAAGCCCTGTGTACGTCCTTTTTTATTTCTTCAGCAGTCTCGGGAATAGCCTCTTTTTATCTCACCCTGTCTGTTGCTGCTCATGAAAGATTCTCCATCTGAAACCACGGAGGAGTTAAATACCAGCTTGGTTTTTCTCTTATCATTTTGTCCCTAAAGCATGCTCCCAGCTATTGTGGAGTTTTCTCAAAAGGCAGAAATGCTCCAGCCTGCATTGGCCCGCCCATTGTTACCCGTCTTAGCCTCAGAAGTTCAAAGAACAAACTCGAAAAGGAAACCCAGGCTCTGCTGGGCATTTTACCCTTAGATCTGGCAAAGGTCAAGTAAAGGAAGACCAAAATATCCAAGTGGATATATACAGCCTCAGTTTCAGCACCTCTCAGTCTATTAGTGTCCTTGTCAGGAGCTGCTTCAGAAGAGCAGAAGGTCACAAGCATCATTGGAGTGGGTTCAAGAGAGGAACTGAGACAGCAAGTAAGGGCGATTCCAAGAGGTTTTGCTGTACAGACAGTCAACAAGTTTGACTTTTGAGGTAGTAGAGCAGGATGTGGAGCCAAAGAATTTTTTTTTTCTTGAAAGGTTAGGGTCATCACAACATACTTGTACAGTACACTGAAGAGAACAGGCACATGAAGAAGGAAACCTTTATGAAGTGGTAGGGAGGACACAGCAGCCAGAGGCATGACCTTGAAGAGACAAGCAGGAGTAGGATGTGGTGCTACCTAGAGAGGCTGTTGTCAGGTGGCAGAGCAGATCCTAACAGAAGGGAAGGCATATGTGTGTGTTCAGTGCGGAGACAGTAAGTGGGGGGGGCAGGTAGAGCTTGTGAGGGATGGTTCTCTTCTGACTGCTTCTATGAATGAGTTAAATAAGAGTGAAGGAGATCATGCTGGATGTTTGAAAAGGGAGAAGATGTGCAGTAGTTGTCTAGGAGAAGGGAGGCGTGCATGGAGTGGGTGATTGTCATGGGATTATGGTTGTACTTGAAGTTTATAGTCATGAATTTAAGTGAGGAAAGGAGTACTGTGTGTGATGGTAGTTTGCTGGTACATAGGTGTACTATCTGCTCTTCAAAGTTATTGAGAGAATTAAATGTGTTAGAAAGCATTTTGAAAATCGCTTCTTGGCCTTTTGGTTCAGGTCAAGCGTAGAGAAACCATTTTGAAGTATTAAGTATAGAACATCGTTATTATGAAACTTAGCTTTGAAATACTTAGCGCTTTTCCTAGGCATAAAGCTTTTCAAGTTTTTTTAAGATAGCTTTAATATCTCCAGAGACAGCATTTCACTTCTGCTGCTGATTTACTTGGTAACTAAGTCTAAGAGAGGACTTAACCTCCTTCTGCTTTTATCTCTCAATCTACAAAATGAGTCTGGTAATATATATATATATATATACACACTATTAATAAAATGGTGTTTCAACCCCGACTGTCATGGTCACCAGAAAATCAGGGAGGTCAGAACATCTGAAAAAGTTTCGAGTTTTGGTAGACACCTCCCTTGGGGAGCTTGCGAAGGAGGAAGGAAAGACAAGTGTCTTAAATTAGGTGTCACCCACAGTATTCCCTTTAATTCTCATCAGTGCTCTGAGGCTGATTAATAGAAACCTGAAATCCAAAAGAGATTAAGTAACCTGTGAAAGCCACATGGTAGAACTTAGATTTCAGCTCAAATTGACTTTAAAATCCCATTTTCTTCTCACTTTGCCTCATGTGGAATTGGACATGATGCATGCTAACCATGAACAGTATATGTATGTATGTACAGAACAGTATATGTATGTATGTATCCTATATAATAAAAGGCTAATATACAAATAGACTGAACGGTGGAACAACCGGTCACTATGATGCGTACTGACCACCAGGGGGCAGATGCTAAATGCAGGAGCTGTCCCCTGGTGATCAATGTGCTCCCACAGCGGGAGCACCACTCAGCCAGAAGCCAGGCTTATGGCTGGGGAGCACAGCGGCAGTGATAGGAGCCTCTCCCACCTTCACATCAGGGCTAAGGACCCCTCAGGGGATGTCTGTCTGCCAGCTTAGATCCCAGAGGGTGCAGGCCGGACTGAGCCCCCCCCCCCCGCCCAGTGCATGAATGTAGTGCACTGGACCTCTAGTACGTATATAATAGACCTATATTTTAGCCCAGTCTCTTCTCTGCTGCCAGATATTCTATTGGAGTTGCCCAGTAGCAGAATAAACTAGTTTGTTGTAGATATCATCATGATAAAGTCATTGATAAGAAATCAAATGACAAGAAAAGACAGGAACATCAGGGTGAGGGAGTAGTAAGCTGACTAAATATTTGCACTTAGCGACAAATGCAGTTTTCAAACACACTTTAGGATAGAAGGGTGGATACTAGAAAATAAATGTGTGTGGTCCTGGGAACTGCAGGAATGCCATGTACACTGTGCCCTTTACTGCAAAGGCAATATGTATATTAGAAACTGTAGAGCACAAACTGCTCTAAGAGAAAATCACTGCTCTAGTAGATTTTGATTTTTGAGTAACAATTACCCACCTGATAGAGAAGGTGATAGGAAAAGTATATTTATTTTCTTCCAACAGCTAAAAGGTGACCATACTTCTAAAATTTGTTGAGAATGTCCAAGAAAGTGTGTAAAATACTCATCCATCACTGGAAAGCCCCTGGTCAGGAAATGACAGTGCAGTAAATATCTTCAGCGGCCACCTTTTAATGCACAAGCTGTTCTCGGTTGGAACTTTCAGCACTCACATAAAACACACTGTCATGAGTGACTGCTTGTGCTCCAAAGTCATTACTATTGGGATAATGGAATATCTCTCAGCGAATAACCAAAAACTTTAAATGTCACGTCACTTCAAGCCATTTCAAGCCCCATTCAAAGTTACATGGATATTGAGGGTGTCTGTTTTTTCATAGTTTGAGGTCCGTGAGAGAGATCATTCCTATGGCTATGCCATGTGAGAGTTGGTTAATTAAAAGGAAATCTGGCATTCTTTGGGAAAGTCAATCAGCCAGAGCCATTTAGGCATTAGCTACTGCAACTCCCTCCTTAGAGCCTTGATAAGTGAGCATCACTGTCACTTACTGCCAACAAAGGAAAATATGTGTGTATGTGTACCTGTCAGTATGTATATGTGTGTATATATTTGACAATTAAATTATAACCTAATTCTGTTTCGCTAGCAAGTTTTAATAATTTGCCTGTCAAGTTCAATGTTCCTTTTAGGGGAAATCATTGACTTTTGAAATTTCAATAGAAACTTTTCTCTTTCATTTTGTTTGAGAAGAAAATTAGATATTATTCAAACGAATGCTTATCTTGGGTCATAGGGTGTGGAAATCATTTCTTTGCCCGGTGTATGTTTATTGAACCCCTACTTTGCTCCAGGGCCATGTCAGCCACCAAAGTCGCAGCATGTTTAAAACAATGTTCCTTATGTCTTGGGGCTCATATTCTAGTGAAGAGATAGACATTGGACAAGTAAACAAGTAAAAGGTGTGTCCAGTGGTTATGAGTTCTATTCAGGGAAAGATGAGGGCATAAGGAGATACTGTGTGTCATTTTGATGGATGGTCAGAGAAGACCTCCCTTCAGTTGGCATTTGAGCAGAGACCTGGATGAAATACAGACCCCAGCTTTGATGATAACTGAGTGATAGGCCCTGCAGGCATAAAAGAAGGAAATAATATAAGTGCTAATGAAACTATTGTCTGTTTTTATTTCAGTTTATAACCTCTGCATGTTTATTTTAAATCTGTTGAATATTTTTAGTTTAATATATCTAAGAGAACCTGTTTATTGAGAATAATTATTTTAAAATTTGATGATCTGCACAGTCCTTGCTCATCACAGTGATAAATTTGATGTTCCTTCCTTCCTGTAGAAAATCAGAAAGTGCAGTTGACAGAAGGGTCGCGTCTACACTACAATATCAATTGCAACTCAACAAGGACTCCAGTCGCCAAGGAGCTTAATTACAACCTCGACACTCACACGTCCACAGGGAGGGTCCAGGCAGCTGAGAAGGACACCTGCCGTGTAGAAAGCAGCAGAAAAAGGGAAAAGGAACTTCTTGGCTCAGTTTCTAAAAATGAATCCCTTTCTGAAGTTGAAGCCCTGCTGGCAAGATTACGAGCTTTATAAATTAAACCGGCAAAAAATATAATAAAATGAGTAAGCCAAATAGAAAGCCATGCTCTGAGCTATAACACTTGAAAAAATTGCTTTCTGTGTAAGTTACTTTATATAATTTTAAATTATGATCTCTATTAGAAAAATAAAACTAAATATATCACTGCAATGCTTTTCCTATGTATTATACTTGAGGGTGCGATCCATTCAAGATTTTAACAGGGCTTTAACATTTTCTGTCACCTGGCATTAACATTTTCTGTATTTGGTGGTTAGGTTATACACTGTTTTAGAGACAGTAAGTGGCCACATGTTCAGCAATGTATCCTTAAGAAAATAACCATCTTTCTAAGTCAACTGTAATTTCTATTTTATTATTTTCAACATTAACGAACCTCAAATCTTCAACCTCAAGTCATGCTACATATCTATGTGTTGTTTATATAGATCCAGATTCTCCCAAATTGGGGTCTGCATGCTATTAGCATAGTATCAAAAATATAAAACTGAATAGAACAGAGCTATGAGAAATGATTGATAAGCTTCTTACCATCATTGAATTCATATTATTTATATCTCCAGGAAACTAAGACCATTGAGCACATTTCCAAAAATGATATAATAGGAATGTATGCACTCTGTAGAATGCACAAGATTTTGTATGAAGCTGGACATATAGGGTATTGCAATGCTGCTGAAACTCTTAGCACACCCCACCTTGTGTCCCCCCACCTCACTCCTCTCCCCTATAATTATGACTCTGGGATAGAATTTCCATTTTTAAACTTCCCAAGTAACAAATGTCTTTATTTCTGTAAACAAACTTGGAATTGCAGTTTGTTTGATCTGACAATCAATAACTTTAACAAAGATCTAAAAAAAATGTTTCATTGAAAGTTTTCTTATGCAAACGTTACACATGTACTTCATTTGGGGCATCAAATTACCGTTGTTAATTCCACATCAAAGACAATAAACTTGTACTTTTACTTGCACTAAATGAGAGAAATCGCTCTTTTCCTTTCTGTAGTTAGCATATTCTGTGGCTGAGCTGGAAATAGACTGTGCTATGCAGTCTCTCTAAGCATCTATTTTGCTTTATGACCTGCAATAAGTAAGTGACTGCTCTTTTACCTACAGTTAAAAAGCAGTTATATGGAACTAGTCTGTGAGGTCCACTGCTTTTTATTTCCTTAAGTTGCTACCTCCTTTCAGCTCCAACTTAATAAAGTTAATTAATTAGAATTATGAACCAGGCCCTGTTTATAGACATTGGGGAACAGAGTTATCCGTAGCCAGTGTGGCAATAAATTGTTCTTGTGTGTATTGCTAAAATGTAAAATTTGCCCTTCAATGCAATTCCAATTTTCCTGAACACAAATCTTAAAAATCAAAAAGTGAAGGATATTTACACATTTAAGCAGACAAGAACTCTAACAGGAAGGAGAGAAGTTAGATGAAAGAATTCTAATTTTCAGTTCGTAACATGATTCTGAAAAGACTTGGGCTTTTCAGAAACACAACTGAAATTCAACCAGGTAGTTTGAATACACCAGGTGGCAGATAAACACTCTGAAAACTTGGAGCTAAGAATCAGTCAACAGAGAGAAGCAGCCGGGTGAATAAAGGGAAGTAAAAATGACACAAATGGGGACAGAGAGGGCATCACCAGATCCAGGAGTCAGCTTCCGTGGCATCTGTCTGCAGGAGCCTGAGGCTAGCATAGCGGCTGCTCTGGCCCACATCCCCTCTCCCTGACTCACTGACAGGAGCCTGTTCTGAGCAGGCCTGATAGGAAAACTATAGCTGTGAAGACGAAAACACAAGAGTTGAATAGGTAAGTCCTTACTAAGAAGCCAATCGCTTTCTGTTATTTCCTTGATAGCTGTCTGTTCAACAAGGGGCTAGATCCATGGTTGGCAAACTGCAGCTCATGATCCACATGTGGCTCTTTGGCCCCTTGAGTATGGCTCTTCCACAAAATACCACAGCCTGGGTGAGTCTATTTTAAGAAAGTGGTGTTAGAAGAAGTTTAAGTTTAAAAAAATTTAGCTCTGGCCAAAACCGGTTTGGCTCAGTGGACAGAGCATCAGTCTGCAGACTGAAAGGTCCCAGGTTCAATTCGGTCAAGGGCATGTACATTGGTTGCGGGCACATCCCTGGTGGGAGGTGTGCAGGAGGCAGCTGGTCGATGTTCCTCATCGACGTTTCTAGCTCTCTGTCCCTCTCCCTTTCTCTCTGTGGAAAATCAATAAAATAAAAAACAAAAGAAATTTCAATCGTTGTATTGTTGGTATTTGGCTCTGTTGATTAATGAGTTTGCCAACCACTGGACTAGAAGAATAGAATTAGCGTGTGTTTATTTTAGTTTTAGTTTTTGTTAATTGATGATTAACAAGGACATTTTCCATTGATTTTTAGAGAGAGTGAAAGAAAGTGGGGGAGGCCGGGGCCAGGGAGTGAGCCTGCAACTGAGGTACATGCTCCTGACTGGAATCAAACCGGGCACCCTTCAGTCCGTGGGTCAATATTCCATCCACTGAGCCAAACCCACTAGGGCTAGAATTAGGGTTTTTAAATTCACAATATTCCTTTCGCCATCTGGAAATGAAAACTATACTGATGACCTTTACTGGAGGATGGGTAGTGAGGTATAATCTTGTGTCTCTGAGCAAACAGTTTGTTCATTTGAATGAGCAGATAAAAGGGCCACTCGAAGCCACCTGACAGAGCTCAGTGCCCTTGATAAGGATGTTCTGTCTGGGCTGGTGACAAACCCCAAATAGAGTCCCCTCTCCCACAGGCCAGTGTAGAGAATGTAGCAAAAACACAGAAACAAGTAAGTGATCATTGAGTTGTCCAGAAGCAAAGACCTGCAGCTAACCAGTTTTCACAATCAGTGTAATTTTTAAAGGAAACAGAGACTCCTGCTTAAGTTGCCCCAGTAGGTAAACGCTGAACTCGCCTATTCTCACAACTGCATCAAAATTACAGAACAATCATTGAGGACCACCAGAACACTAGCCAAACAGAATTCCTGTTACTAAGAATATTAAGAAGTCATACGGAGACTGATAGGATGGATGGAGTCAAGAATTAGGCTGGTCCCACACCCTCAGGATGACGATTAAGAATCAGGTAGAGATTCCACCTAAAGAACAAGGGGTCCCTGCCTCAAACTGGGCTTCCCAGACTGGGCACCAGCTCTGGGAAGAAGAATCTATAACATCTGGCTATAAAAACCAGCTGGGATTGTGTCCAAGCAAGACAATGTGCTATGAGAGCCCTAGGCACTTGCAGGGCTGAAAGGGCCCAAGCACAGACTCACTCACAAGCACATGCACTCAGCTCCAGCACAGGGGCTGCATCTTGAAAAGCACCAGGAACTAACTTGTCTAGCTTCAGGGTGAGGGCTGGAGGTCAGAGGTTAGGTCAGCTCACCAGACTGCTGGCAGACACCACAGTTCCTCTGGTGCTCCCCTATGCAGCTGGCAGGCACAGGTAAGCACCAAAGCTGAACACACTGTTAACTGTCTGCCCACTGTGATGATCCTAAGACCCCACCCTACCCAACTCGCCCACCTAGCCCAGACTTCTTCCAGTGAAGTATCCACACATGTGGCCTGCCTCAGGTGGTGCTGCAGACTTTACTAAATATCTCAAAAGATCCACAAATCCCAGACAAGCAGTGGCCAGCCTTAGCATGCTTTGTACCACCTCCTAAAACAATGGTTCTCAATCTTCCTAATGCCATGACCCTTTAATACAGTTCCTCATGTTGTAGTGACCCCCAACCATAAAATTATTTTTGTTGCTATTTCATAACTGTAATTTTGCTACTGTTATGAATCATAATGTAAATATCTGTATTGAGAACTGCTGCTGTAGAGCCTAAGACCATCAGAAAACACAGATATTTACATTACAGTTCATTAACAGTAACAAAATTACAGTTATGAAGTAGCAATAAAAATAAATTTATGGTTGGGGGTCCCCACAACATGAGGAACTGTATTAAAGGGTCGAGGCATTAGGAATGTTGAGAACCACTGCTCTGGAGCATCTGGCTCAGGTGACCATGAAGACTATACCACTGGGCCCCACAGAACAACTTCTACATAAGGCCACTCTGCCAAGACTGAAAGGCATGAATAATCCACCTAATATATAGAAGCAAACATGGAGTAATCCAAAATGAGAAGATAAACATGTCCCACATGAAAAAATAGAAACAAAAAATATAAAAAAAGAACTAACCAAAGTGGAGACAAGTATTCTACCAGATACATAGTTCAAAGCATTGGTTATAAGGATGTACAATGAAATTAGGAGGGGAAAAAATAGAGAATTTCAATAGAGATAGAAAACATAAAAAAGAACCTGTCAGAAATGGAAAACTATAATAACAAATTAAGAATATATTACACAGAATCGATAACAGATTACATGAAGCAGAGAATCGAATTGGCAATCTGGAAGGCAATATAATGGTAAACACCCAATCAGAACAGCAAAAGCACTAAAAAGGAAAATGAGAATTCAAGGGACCTCTGGGACAACATCAAGCATAAGAACATTTATATTATGGTAGTACAAGAAGGAAAAGAAGAAAACAAAGGGTTGAAAACCTATTTGAAAAAGCAATGGCTGAAAACTTTCCCCACCTGATGAAAAGAAAAAAATAGACTTATAAGTCTAGAAAGTGCAGAGAGTTCCAAACAATGTAAAGCCAAAGAGGTCTGTACCAATACACACCAATTAAGGTTATTAATTGCCAAAGGTTAAAGACAAAGAGAGATTCTTAAAAGTAGCAAGAGAAAAGCAGTTAATTACTTACAAGGGAGCTGCCATAACTGTCAGCTCATTTATCAACAGAAACTTTGCAGTCCAAAAGGAATTGGCAAGACATATTCAGGTGATAAAAAGCAAGGCCCTATGACCAAGATTGCACTCCCCAGCAAGGCTGTCCTGTAGAATTGAAGGAGAAATAGTTTCCCAGGCAAGAAATACCTAAAGAATTCATCATCATAAATCCAGTATTATAAGACTTGTTAAATGGACTTCATTAAGAAGAAGAAAATTGCCAAAACCAGTTTGGCTCAGTGGATAGTGTCAGTCTGCAGACTGAAAGGTCCCAGGTTTGATTCTGGTCAAGGGCATGTACATTGGTGCATGCACATCCCCAATGGGGGGTGTGCAGGAGGCAGCTGGTTGATGTTTCTAGCTCTCTATCCCTCTCTCTTCCTCTCTGCAAAAAATTAATAAAATATATTAAAAAAAGAAGAAGAAGAAAACTTTTAAATATGAATAATAAAATGGCCATAACTACATACCTACCAATTACCTTAAATGTAAATAAGTAAGTGCTCCACCCAAAAGACTAGGGTAGCTAAAGAGAACCATTTTGGATCAAGATACACAGATTGAGCTGAAACCGGTTTGGCTTAGTGGATAGAGCGTCGGCTTGGGGACTGAAGGTCCCGGGTTCGATTCCGGTCAAGGGCATGTACCTTGGTTGCGGGCACATCCCCAGTAGGGGATGTACAAGAGGCAGCTGATAATGATTCTCATCGATGTTTCTAACTCTCTCTCTCTTCCTCTCTGTATAAAATCAATAATATATTTAAAAAAAAAAAAAAAGATACACAGATTGAAAGTAAAAGATGAAAAAAGATGTGTCAAGCAAACAGAAATGACAAAAAATAAATAAAATAAAAAAATGCTGGGGTAGCAATCCTATCAGGTAAAATGTACTTTACAATAAAAGCTATAACAAGAGACAAAGACATTTTATAATGATAAAAGGATCAATCCAAAAAGAAATGACAATGTTTGTAAAAATTTACCCACCCAGTGAAGGAGCACTTAAATATATAAATCAATTATTGATAGACATAAAGGGAGAAATCAACATAAAAGTCATAGTAGGGGACATCAATGGATAGATCATCTAGGCAAAAATTCAAAAGGGGATATAGCAG